GTTCATTTTGCACAACCATTTGGCCACTGGCTTTGACACTGCACTGACATTTTCTTACCTGCATGTCTTCCATCTTTTCTGTTAATACAGTTTTAATTATAACGGCAATTAATGATTTAATGACTAATCACTAACATGCCTTTTTACTGTGCTCACATTGAGTGTCTGTACTCGTCTCCTCCCTGTTCACTGCCCGGAAGAGATCGGTGTCCTGGGACACATAATATATATAAACAAACACTACCAGTGTAAAAAACACAAAAAATGCCACAATACGATGTACTGTTTTACACTTTACACTCGCTGCGTTCATGGTACATCTTCTGGTCGCCGTTTTCCTGCATGTGTCCTTCTTTTTAGACCACACTAATGTTGGTCAGTGTGGACGCACACATCTCTATAGTGATCTCTATAGTTATTAGTGTGGACGGGCCATAACAGTACAACTGGTTAATGCCTGACTGTCAGAAGAAAAGAACGACAAAAACATCACAGTATATGTGCTGTCTGATGGGGAAGAAAACGTAGAAACTGTATTGGTTTGAAATTCGTGCTGGGGCACTTCTGTTGTGTGAGTGGATATGCTGTGTTTTCTTTTTGCAGCGTGTTTCTGTTTCTGCAACGCATTCATGTGTATGCAGCTCGTTTGTGTACATACACGTCGTTTGCACCCGTTGGCCACCGTAGGCAGCACCTTGCATGGCAGCTGTCATTGGTGTATGAATGTGTGTGTGAATGGGTGAATGACAAAACATTGTAAAGCGTTCCGAGTGCTGCTAAGGTAGAAAAGCGCAGACAATTTACCATTTAAATGATTCAGGTGCATAACACTTTTAAACCTCACAACACAAAGGACGCTTCGTGATGAACATTTCATCCATCAAATGTTCATCGCAACTCCGCGCTGCTTTAACTACATGCTGTTTCAGTCGGAGCATCTACAAAGGTCTCCTCCAGGAAGAACAAAGTCCTTCATCGCGTCTGACTGAAGCCTCGTCTGTCGCCTTGTGTCGGCAGATCAAAGAGGAAACTGACTCTGTAAACAGCTGAGAGGCTGCAGGGCTCCACGTTCACCCACCGGCCTTATCTCAAAGCCTCACACACACCCAGGAAGCCGTGACCTGAACACACACACACCGTCACACCTGAGGCTGCTCGACCGAGTGGAGTCGGCCTCCGTGGCTACTGTTTGAACAGCGACCGGCCGAGTCGAGGAAACGCAAACACTCAGATACGGCGTCAGCGTCCAGGCGTGTTCGTGCTGCTTGGCTGTATCTCACACCCTGTAACCCTGGTAACTTCACCGGGAGTTAGAAAGTCACAATTAACTGAACCCTCATTGTAAAATATGTGGTAAGCTTCTCCTATGTAAATAAACTGAAATTAAAAACACTTTAAAAAAAGAAAAAGAAAAAAAAAAGAAGATAAAATCTGGCAGAAATGGTGCCAGAAATAATATGCTAATAAACTGTTGAAAAAAAAAACTATATATATATACATAATAATGAAAAAAATAATGTATTTATTCTGTGCAGTCTTGGTCTGGATTTTTAGTTTAGTTTTATTTTTTGTATTTCTTTTTACTTTTTTACAGTCCAGTTTATCAGTCCAGATATAAATGACTACATTTTCCTGTGATTTTACTTATTATCTGTAATTTAACTAAACTGGTAAAATCTTTCATTTATTTGCTATTTTTCCATCCTTAATATACACAATTCTTTTTTTTCTTTAAAAGCAAGTATCTGTAGGATAATTATACATTTTTTCGTATTCAAATACAGTAAAAAAAAAAAAGTTATAGTATAGTTAAATTTTGTAAAAGACTGAATTATTATTTGTAAAAATACTGTTTTGTCTGTTTGTTTTTAAAACAAAATCACGATTTTTTTTCTCCAATTTTACTAGATATTCTCTTTTATTTAGTAAGTAATAAAAGTTGTTTAAATAAACTACAACAGTGTAATTTTTACTGTCACATGTTGTAAAATAAATATATTTATTATTTTTGATGTGGACATTGTTTTAAATTCTGGCCTGTTTTTTGAGGGTTAACATGAAACACATTTTTTTGTGTGTATTTACTCGATATTATCTGTAATTGAATAAAAAAGGAAAAATCAATAAAATCTAAACAGCAAATATCTGTAAAATAATTATTGTTATTGCTGATGTAAATTCAGCAAAAAGAAAACGTTGTAATTATATGGGCAAATTTTGTAAAAAAGAAGAATTACCATTTATAAAAATATGTTTGTTTGTTTTTTTGTTTTTTTTTATCAGGACATCATTTACCGTTTTGGCCTGTTTATTACTGGTTAAAATGTAAATGATGGCTTCTTTTCCGTGATTTTACTAAATATTAACTAAACAAAGTGGGGAAAATTGTTAAGTTAGCAGTAAATTGTTCCAAAACATCACAGTTAAAATTCATTTTTAAAAAAAATTAAGTTTAAAGTTTGAGATGCAGCATCTGTTGAACCGCATGCAAACGTTTCCTTCTCTAATTCAGCAGTTTGATCTGCTGACCTGCTGTACCACCGACAATAAGAAGCTCTTTATGCGTCTAACATCAGTGCTTCCTGGTAAACAACACATTTACCAACTAAACAAATCTGACAGGAAGCAACTGTGAACATGCAGTGAACGATGTGCTTGTACCGACTCAGTTTAGAGGTCAAGAGTGTAACCCAGGCTGTTTTCTGACTCTACAATTTACAGATGTTCCCTAAACGCCTCTGCGCACAGACAAGCCTCTAGTCTCCACTCAGCTACAGCTGTGAGGCGTCCGACTGAAAATGAGTTTCACCAGAGTGAAATAAGGCGTTCACTTACAGGAACTGTGATCTTGTCTACCTGGATTACAGCGTGTGGGAATGTCATATTACTACACGATGTCACGTTGCAAAAATGTGTAATTTTCTGCTCTTGCAGCAGCTGTTACCCAATAATTTGTGTGTGTGACATTACCAGGAGTCATCAGAGAGGCTTACCAGCAGAGTGCAGGGACTTCTTTAGTACGGTGACTCGACCCTGAGGAAACACAACAGAAAACAGTGATTAGCGCTGACGTCCTCGCAAAAATGATCACAGAGGAGCGACGGCCTGCACACAATCAGGTACAACGGCGGCCTGTAAGGTTCCAGACGGTTCGAGCACCGGCTGGAGACGAGATTAAATAGGAACAAACACGAGCAGTTCAGCTCAAACTTGACACACATCCAGGATTACGCAACCTCATCGCACATGTCGACGCGGCCTCAGCGTTCAAACCACCTCACACCCACATCCTGCAACATGCTGGGAGAGCAAAACCACTGGAGAAGAAGGAGATGAAAGGTTTCAGAGGCAACGGCTTGACCATGAAAACGGAGCTAAAAGCTGCATAACTGGAAGATAGAGACGTCCTGCAGTCAGAGAATTAGACTCTGGGGAGCTTCAGAACCCTCTGAGCATCAAGCAGTTTGTGGGTGGGTTCATCCATCACTGTGGGATCATTTTTCACTGCAACATAAAGTCCTGCACCTTTTTAATTTGTTCCTCCATTAGTCTCCTCTCTGCCTGCAGTTCAACCAAAACTACTGGTTGCAGCTGGAAGTGCAGATTTTTTTGTTTTTTACAGAATCTCATTTGGATAAACTGTTTATTTTTGGCGAATTTTTGAATGAGACATTATCCAATGAAATGACACTTAACAGATGAGCAGTTCAAGGCCCGTCAAAAAGTTATTAAAACCCAACATTTCTCTGTTTTTACACTTTCTGGATGATCCGTGGTGTCATTTGGTGATTTTTAAAGCCTCTAAATGTTTCACCCGGCACAGTCTAATCTCTGCTGCTTCACTCGCTGAAGGATTAAACTGTTGCAGAACATCTGACCTCCGTGTTTCCATTTGCTCTTCGTGTGACCGTCGAGAAGCATTCAGGGAGTCAGGGAAGGATTTTTCAGAGTAAACATCGGCCCAGCGTCTTTAAAAATACCTTTTTGTTGAATCACTGAATCTTATCACAGAAACTGAGATACTTTTTCTGGACGCTGATAAGAGAAGCAGGTAGAGACGAAACATCAGGCTTCAAACATGCCAACGACGAGAAGACGAAAAATAAAGTTCACAAGGGACAGTGTAAGTTCATAAACTGCTGTTCATCCACAGATTCAGAAAATAAAAAATGTTTTCGGGGACACAGGACATGTTTGTTTGCTGAATTTTGGGCGGTTTTGATTCTTTTTAGGTTCCAGCAACTGAATTTTCTGCTCGTATTTGAGCCCCTGTTGCATTTAAATTCCCCACTTCTGTAAAATGTGATTATCTTTCTTTTAAACGGGACTTCCACAGATTTCCACCATTTCCCACCCAGAGGAATTCTGAAGAAGCTGCAGTGAATCTTCCATCAATAAGGAATTCTTGTTGCCTACAGCTGAGAGGTGGTTAAAGCTCTGGTTTGTCATCATCACAGTTTCATTTTGAGCACAAATAAGACACAAAACTATTTTTCATGATATTTATGTCCAAATTTCACAAATTGAAATAATCATGCTTCTTTAAATGTCTAAAACATCAAATATAATCATTTTGCAGAAAATCAAAGCAAAGAAAAGTACAAAATCTTCACATTTTGAGAAGCTGGAAGCAGAGAATGATTAACTTTTTTCCTTTTCAAACACCGGAAACGATGACATAACAGATCCACAATCCTACAAAAGATCATTCGAAAGGACTTTTGTCAGCTGTTGGGATATCAGACTGTTAGTCAAACCAAAAAAAAGCAGTTTAAAGACAAGTTTTTAATTAATTTTTATATTTTAGAGACTCAACTATTGATGCATTAATGCAGAAACTAATTGGTATATTAATTATCAACATGAAGAACTCGTAGTTGTGGTTTCAATTACAGGCATTTGCACAAATATTAAATGTTATTTTAAGCATCTGCATGAATGGTGATCTAACTTTAAGCTTTTATTTATCATCCTGCCCCTTTTGAATCTCTTTTTTTGTTCCTCTTTCAGCATCTAAAGCACCTCACCGACTCCTGAAACTTTAGAAAAGTAGGCAAAGAAGCTTCGGCGCTGCAACACGACTGACGGCTTGACAGTGAGTGACGGGTGATTCGAGGTAAAGCAGGAAACGAAAGCGACCGACATGGCTTCACCGTGAAGACAAATGGAAGTAAAAATCAGATCGAGAAGATGACCGAGAGACTGGAGGGAGATAACGACGAGCAGCGACACAAACGTGAGCCGAAGAGGACGAGTGCAGACATGACAGTGACATTCCTGCCATTCCCTGGAACGCCGGCCTCGCCCTGCCGGAGAAAAAAAAACAACAAGCGATTCCCAGACGCTCGATTGAAGCAGAGGAGTTTTTCTTTTTTTGTTTTTTTTTAAGAAAGATCCTTTAAAAGTCATTGGACAACTTTGTTGTTTTAACAACTAGTGATTCTTTTGTGTGAATCCAGATCAGGTTGCTGCAGGGTATCGCCGTGTTTGTGTGCAAAGTTCTTCCAAAAGGTCAACCAAGTGCCACGCTAGCAACCAAACAGGTTTACAGCAAACACAAGAGTAACGCAAGCTTCAACTCATGTGTGAAACAAGTGGCCAAAACCAACTATTTACAGACAAATCTCAAACATTCATAGATATCCAGTTAGCTGTTTCAGTAAGCTCTTTTAACCCTTTGAATCCCCACCAGCTAGTTTAAAAAGCACGTTATCTTTTTTAAAAAAGCTGTAAAAACAACAAAAATCATCAGCTTTTCAACTGTCCGACAGTCCTTGATGTACTCGTGTGTGATGTGTGGATCCATCAGGAAAAATTGCAGCTTTTTCTGTGAATGTGTGTCATTTAAAAGCAGGAAAAAAATTCCCAAATTCAGACAGTAACAGCTTCACTACTGTGAGGCTAAACTGGGCAACGCTGGGTTCTATGAGACACCAGGTCAGAGCAACACCTGAGAAACAACTGCTTTTTCACTCCCAGCCTATAAAATACGTAGCTTAGGATTGTCTTTTTATCCCCTGAATCTCAAAACCTGCTAGCAGGCTTAAAAAGCCCGTTTTAAAAATAGCTAAATTACACCATTTATCAGAACTAGAAAGTTTAAAAAATAAAAAATAAAAATCTGTAAATTACTGCTTTTCTGACAGTCCTGGAACTACTCATCTTTGATGTGCCGTTCCATTGGAAAAAATGAACCAAATCTACACTTAAAACTCTGATATTTAATCAAAATCTCCATGTGCTACATGTCTTTTCATTCATGTTGGAATCATCGCAGAAAAAGAGCTTTAGGCTTCAGGCAGTGTTTGCACAGAACAGAGAGGAGACGAGTGTGGAAACAAATTATGAATGCAAATTAGTAAAGATCTATAGTATGTGGAGCCACGTGTGGAAAATAAAACGCACTGGATTAATGAAATAAATGCAGCTTGGGTTAAAAGGAAATGACAAGCAGGGGAGCGAGTTGCTGATACATCCAGCATGGTGGATCTGACGTTGTTGTGCAGAGCGGGGTGAAAAAAAAAAAAACACGTTAGTCGAAGCTGTAAAATATCGACAGCATGTGGAGCCAACGGTTTCCCCCCCAGTATTAGCTACACCTGTGGGCAAAAATGTTGTACATGTTGATTCCAGGTTTCTTTCAACGGTTGTAAAATATTCAAATAAACCATCAAAGAAGTTCATTTTTCTTGGATTTATGGCATCGTAAGTGTCATTTTGCAGAGAAGACATTTCTGAGTTCTCTGTCCTTCTAGTCACGCTTGTTCTGTTCCCATAGAGGTGCAGGACTTTATGTTGCAGTGAAAAATGAACCAACAGTGAGTAAAAATGAAATGAACAGCCAGGTTCAGAGCGTTTAGGCGCAGTTCTCACGTGTTAAACACTTAGAAAATGTCAAATATTTTCATTTCTGTATCGAAAAACAAGCTGCAGCAGAAGATTTTGACTTGTAATAAGCAAAAGCGTCTGCGTGGTCGTTGCATAAAAGTCATTTAGTGGCGTGTTTGCCCACCGCTGATGCATTTCTGGAGCCAGTAACGCTGGGTGGGAGATGTGGAGCTCGATATCCAACTTGTAATTATGACCGAGGGGTGTGACGTGAACGGGTTTTCCCAGCTGGCAGCTTGTTTTTCTGAATGCAGCATCAAGAGGAGGAGATAGAGGAGAGAGTGCTCAGAGGAGGTCTAACTGGTTTTCCATTCAACGCTTTGCTGCTCCTTTAAAAAAATAAAAAAGAGAGGATCCAAGAAAAGTAAAGACAAACGTGTCTTTTAGCTTTTCCAACATGAAAACTGCGGTTAATGTCATCAATAAAAGACATATTGTATCCCGGCGGCCGACCTCTGTAATTATTTTGAGATTAAGCAATTCATCAAATGACAAAATAACCACTGATTGAACACGAAAAGCTAATTACAGGGCCGAGTTTTCTCCTCAGATGTGTCAGATCGGATTCAAAGTTTGTGTTAAATGTAGAAGTGCAGGCGCTCTGAGTAATGGGAGGCAGCGAGGAGCAGAATCCAACCAAACCGTCGACTAAATTCCCCCTCCAGCTACAAACAAAGTCAGCAGGGTCGACTCGTTTCACCGCTCACTCCGCAAACGTCTTCTTTCAAGTCACGGCAAACAGCTGCGACGATTGTTTGATTAATCGGCAACTATTTCTGGGCTTAAATCATCAGTTTGAGTAGTTTTTTTTAAGGAAAAAAAGTCTGATTACAGCCTTTCAACTACGAATATGTTCTAGTATTTTCCTCCTCTTTGACAGTAAACTGAATATCTTTGGGGTTGTGGACAAATCAAGACATTTGAAGGCGTCATGTTGGGCTCTGATTGACATGTTTTTACCATTTTCTGACATTTAAAAGACCAAATAACATCAATTGAATTTCTGTTTCTTATGCAGGACATTAAATGATTCTTACTTTTTAATAAGTAAAGTCAAATTGCAGGTCAAACAGTCCGTCTAGCTCAATTGGAAACCAGAACAAGTTTTATTGCTGCAACTGAATTCTTTTTATATTTTTAATCCA